CGCCGCCAGGCTCCGCCCCTCGCGCTCGCCGCCGGCGTGGGGCTGCGTTGATTTGAATCTGGAGCCTCGCTCCTCTGCGCGGAACGTAGGGCGAGGAGTTGCCATTCGAATTTACTCCGCCGCCGCGATGCGATTGGCCGGTTCGCGGACAGCCACGCGACGCGATTGGCCAGTCGTCCGGCAGCCCGGAGTCCTGGTTGGTCGAAGACAGCTGCGGAAGCGGGGAGTTAAAGAGTCTGGCCCGGTGGTGGGAGCTGGCAGAGCCCCCGGGGAGCGCCCCGGATTCGAAGCTGAGGGCCTCCTTTAAACACACACCTGTAGGTACGTTCTTTGCAGTTCCTGGCCTTTCTTCCTGTCTAGAATTGGAGAGCTCGATCTTCCCAGCTCCACACTCGCCTGCCCGCTCGCTCCGGGGTGCAGGGGAGCAGCGAGGGGTAGATGTGGAGGAGAGGGGAACCCAGAAGTGGTCGCTTAGAACTGGGGTGACACCTCCTGTGCTGTTCACCCCGAAAGCCAGCTGAACTTCATTCTTCTCTTTGTCGGGTTGTCTGGTTGTACCACCTGTGGAAGTCACGCAGGGGGAGCTTGGCAGAAGGCGGTGCCGAGAGAGGCGAGGGCAGTTAACTCCGGACCCGTCAGTCGTTCCCCAGCGAGGGCTGCCGTGCAGAAACCGGGCGCTCTTCCGCACGTCTCCTTAGCTTGCTGCGAGGAATTGCCTCCTAAGAGTTGGAGCTTGATAGAGACTTCCTGGAGTATCCGAAAGATGCTCATAGTGTTTCGAGTCTTGACATAATGAATAAAAAACCACAGATGTAAATCCTTCTGTCGGAAAGGGTTTTTTGCCCATTGTATAAATGCATTTAGGTGCCACAGAGGCGGGCCTGACCCCACTCATGTTGGGTTGATAGCTATTTATAGACCACTTAATCTCTTTGCATTTGTTAAATGATAGCACTAACACCTTACCCCTAGCTTTCAAGGTTGTTTCGAGGATTACTTGAAAAAAAAGTGTGTAAACTATAAAAATAGCCCAAGAACATTAGGTTTTGAGTTACTTTTTTGTGAAATACATGTTTTGTTGAATACATTTAAATTTTCAGAATTAAGAGCTGCGGTACTCTGTAATTGTAATATATTTTCTGATTTCTTTTTAGTTTGTTTTCTGTGCTATGGGAGATATCAAAGAATTAAAAATGCAGATAACACCGGAAACTCCAGGAAGGATCCCTGTTTTAAATCCTTTTGAGAGCCCAAGTGATTATTCTAATCTCCATGAGCAAACTGTTGCTAGTCCTTCTGTTTTTAAATCTGTAAAATTGCCAGTAAGTTATTTTTGACTAGTTTTTACACTAGTTTTCATTAATTTTACATGAAAATAACATACTTTTGAATGTAAATATCTTTTACAAGGTAAGGGAAAATGAAACATGTGTAGCTATAATGTACTTTTTAAGTTATAGTGTTGATTATAATCAAGTGGTCATGCTAATAATTAGATAGAAAAAATTCAGTGAGCATTTACTTTTAAAAAAATCTAATTTTTAATTGATACACAAAACAAAAAAATGTATATATTTATGGGTAGCATGTGATGTTTTGATACATGTATGCGTTGTATAATGCTTCAGTCAAGGCAAAGGTATCTATTCCCTCAAACATTTGTCATTTCTTTATGGCAAAAACATTCAAATCCATACTTTTTGCGATATATAGTACATTGTTGTTGTGTGTAGTCATCCTACTCTACAGTATCACACCAACACTTCTTGCTCCTATGTAAGTAGTCTTTGCTTTCTTGGAATGGAAGAAGTAAGGTGTGTCAGCTTATTGTAAGTGTAAGTGTAGTTCGATACTATGAATGAAGACATGTCTACTACTTCCACATGGAGAAGAAGCTGTGTCATCCTAATTTGATCAGCAAACATTACTGAGTGTAGTTATGCATCAGATACGATGCCTAGCAGTTACATCGTTTACAAGTCAGGGTCCCTAGACACAAACCCACAGAGATACTCCATTATAAGCAGCAGCATACTTTTTCTGTTAGAGACCAGACAAGAAATATTTAGGCTTTGCAGGTTATCTGATTCCTGTAAAACTACTCACTTCTGCCTTGGTGCAGCCATGAAAATAAATACATTAATAAATATATAAAAGACAAAAATACAAAGAAAGTTATGGGAAGTGTGTAAACAGAAATGTGTCTGTGCCCAATAAAGTTTTATTTATGGACTGAAATTTGGATTTTATGCAATTTTCACATAATGAAATATTAGTATTCTTTTCAACCATTTAAAAATGTCAAAACCATATTTATTTTGCAGGCTATTATAAAAACAAACCAACCCCTCAATTAGTGGGATAGACAAAAGTGATTAGTGGTTAGCACAAAGGTGATGTGGAAGAGAAAGTATTCTTTAAGAGAGTAAGGAAGTCCTTCATTGCTTTTATTAATTTTGCATTTATTTGCTACTCTAGAGTTCTTTTTAAAGTCTAATCTATTAACCTGGTTAGTTATCCAGGAAAACTGCAAAGCTGGTGACTGCTTCTGCTGTAAGCATGTGCTAGAGGAAAACTGGGCCATTTTGTAGTTTCTATCAGTGGTGGCAAACCTACGGCACACATGCTGCAGTGAGCCCTCCCTGTGGGCCTATGAGCCAAGTCACCGCAGCCAGGGTTTGACACATTATCAGCATGCATAGGCCGGCAAAGATCACATTAAATGTGGAAGACCGCACCAAATGCAAACTTTTACCATTCAATAAAAAGATGTTTGTATCACTGAGAGCTGTGTTACTGTTTTTCTTTTAAGACCAAAGATGTTAAGGTATGAGTTGTTTTTTCTAAATGAACACCTCTGTGTTCAGATTTAATTGCAGTTTTGGCACTTTGTGAGAAATAGGTGGGTTTGAGGTTGCAGTTTGGGCACTCGGTCCCTTAAAAGGTTCGCCCTCACTGGTTCATATTGAATCATTTCATTAATCTGACCTCCATGATTTTTAATTGAATTGTATTAAAATTCAGTTATCTTTTAGTCTTCATAGAAACTAATACTGGAATGACTGCAATTTAACCCTTAAAACTACAGTGTTACAGCACCTTGTATTTTAGACCTGAATTTGTCTGGGTTGTATTTCTCATTACATACTAGGATTTGGATAAAGCTTTTGATTCTGATAATTGAATATAGGAAGGCAGCATTGGTTGCCATTCATGATTATTTTAAGAATCAATTATTTTATGAGCTTTTGTACCCCTTGGGTAGTTAGGGCTTTGTTTATCTTCAGTTCATTCTTAGTGAAAGACCTTTGATAAAAGAAATGTTTACTTTTACATGGGCCTGGTATTGCTATACTTTTATTACTTTTATGAGTTTTTTTCTAGTATTACATTTTAAAATCACACAGATTTAGATGTTTTAGAAGAGATATGTCAAGCCAGTTGATTTTGTGTTATTTGTTTACCTGAAAACATAGGTTTCAAAATATTTTTATATTACAGTATACCCACTCACATTATTTTGGAAGATGACATTAGTTTAGCATTTGGATGAACTGTTTTAGTTTGCATTTATTAATAAGTTCGCTGTCTTTTGTTAAGACTCCAGGAGAATTCAGATGGTCTATTGATCAACTAGCTGTAATAAATCCTGTAGAAATAGACCCAGAAGAGATTCATCGGCAAGCCTCCTACTTAAGTCATTCTCGGTAAGTTTTCCTTTCTTGCATGTACGTGTGTGTAATAACACATTTTTAAGTGAAGAGATACAGGAAATTTTAAAGGTTGAATATTTGTATATGTAAAGATACCAAGGGAGAAAAACTTCTGGTGTGGATTTTTCCTGTCTAAATGAGTAAGTTGCAAGAACTGTACCCAGAAAGAGACCCTGGCTAACAGCTCTAAATCTGGGTAGGAATGCTTTTCTTTTAGCGATAACCTTCTTCCTCTGCTACTTACAAAATAGCTCTGCTCGCCAACACTTGGTAAAGGGAAGGGCATTGTAAAATTTGTACCTTTTCCTGTGATGTGGCTTCTGACTTTTGTTTTTTGATATAAAGTACAATTCTATTTAGCACCTATGTATGTTTATGGAATTCTCCTTCACAAGTTAATACCTACCGAACGCAAGAGTATCCGGTAGCAACAAGGAGCTTTTTAGGCATCATCTAGTTTTAACATAGTCCCCTGGGAAATCCGAATCATGATACCTGAGTAGCCTTAAACTTTGTTGTGTGTTCCATAGGTTTCAAGGTATTAGTAGACGTGTGCTGCTCAGTGATGACTAAGGTGGTGAGAATATGTACTTGTTTAAGGGAACAGGGCCAGTTTTTGATTACAGATTGTCAGGTAGTAGTTTGGAGGACTTTTGTTTTAATATGGTTGGATTTCTTTATATTTGAAAACCACCAAATACATGATATGATCAGCTTTTAATTTTTTGTCTTAAGGTTGATGTGCTGTGAGTCCCAAAACTGGGATCCTTTTCCCTTTGACTTTTAAATTCAGTCACACAGTGATTCACACATATTGAGACATTCCTGCAAGTACTTGTCCGGCTTTTCTACTCTAGCCTTTCTTTGCTTGGTAACTTGCTGACCATTCCCTCAGAATCAGTTACTGTTACGTCCATCTGAATTGTGACAGGAAGGGAACAGAATGGAGATAAAGCCTAAAAGGATTTTCAGTTACATTTAAATAATACCTTAGAAAGAGAAGGTAGAAGACTATATAAAAGCAAATGATTCACCGTTAATAAGTACCGTAATCTTTTGTCTCACACAAATTGTAGTCTTTATTATTTTGCCTTATCTCTTCAACATGTTGAATCCTGGGTAACTACTATATTAGTAAAGAGGTATTTACTGAGCACTGTGAGGACACTGTGAGAAACACTGAAGGAGTATATTGGAATATTAGATTGTAGGATATTTCTTCTGTCTCTAAGAGCTAATGATACAGTTAGACCACCTAACAGTATTTTTACTCTTGTTAGGTTTACAGAGAGAATCTTGGTATATTTCAGTAGATTGTTTTGTGATAAAGAAGAGGGAGAAAGAATGGGAAAATAATTTAGCTAACGTAACTCAGTGAATGGTTATGCCTTCTACGAGGGACAGGAAAATACCTCTAACATGCTGCTTCATTCTTAGAAATAAGCAATGGTCTTCCATACCTCGTCTTAACTAATCAGAACTATTTCCCTTCGTCCCTTCCTTTCCATGCCAGAACACACAGAACGGTGCGGAGGCATGCCAGTGTGTAAACAAATGAGTGTTCTTCACACAGGACGGGACTAATCCTGACGGTCTCTGACCTTCCTCCTTGCACAGAGACCAACGCTGAGAGCACACATGTTAGCAGTGTGCATCGCACCAGCGTGCAGTGGCGTGCCGGTCAGGGTATTCTGCTGCATGACTTCTTAGAATCTTCTAGCACTTGCTCTGCAGTATTTGGCCACACTGATTTTTACTGCTTCCCGCAATCAGCGGACTCTTTCTCATTCTGGTAGTGCCTCTGATGAAGCAGCACAATGTTTCTGAATGAGACAAAGGTAGATTAGAGCTTACTGAGATTATAATGCATTTGACTTGGTTATGCCCTTGACGAGAATTGAGTTATCCTCAAAATGGCTGTTGGTCAAGCAGGGACATGTGCATTATCGCTCTAGTTTATTTTCTCATAACTCCCTCTAGTTTATTTTCTCATAACTCCCTCGAGAAATCTATCAGTTTCAATGTCTGAAACATGTATATTCTCATAGAACTTTTTTTTCTCATAGGGCTTTGTTTAAGCCAGGATAGAATCATTTTAAATTGTTTTTAAAAACAAGTCTTGCGAATTTGTTGATAGAATGCAAACATGCTTCTTGGAAAAGGGTAAGGAAGTGGTCCTGCAAGGCTGACTGCTGAATTCTTGGCAAGTACATGCCTGTGCTTCAGACCCGACATTTTATATGAAATCTTGGTGCTGAGAAATTTGTGTTGCTGTATGAAGCAGAGGCCTTATCTGGACAAAATTTCGTATTGTTGTGATTTATTTTATAATTAATATTTTTATCTGTTTGTTCAGGATATAAGGATGATAGTTTCTTTCCTCTATTTCAGAATAAAAGCTGATCCTAAAGTTACCACTACGATAAATTTACCATAATTGAAGAGACAGAATTTGGACAATTTTTAATTTTCTGTCAAATTAAATACTTAATTTGTGTTGATTAAAGGACACACTTTATTCAGAATATTTTGTGTCGTTGATAGTAATTTAAGTATATTGGTATAAAACTTTCAAAAGAAAGTATTGTTCCATTCACAGTTTGAATGGGAAAGAGGGAGGTAAGCCTAATAGCTACGTGCTGAACTTCAGAATACTGCCATTAACTAAGTATTATAAGATGCCAGTTTTTCTTTTAAAGTGAGTTTAACACTTGCCAGTTTTCAGTGGAGGGGAATTATTTCTTTGAAAGGTTATTATTTTAAATGTTCTGTAAGCTGAAGTAATAGCGTGGTTATTTTTCTTCTTTATCTCTGTATAGAATAGATAAAGATGTGGAAGACAAAAGACAAAAAGCCATTGAAGAGGTAACTTAAAACCGTTGCTGATCATTAAGCCAGTGAAGGATTCATTCTGTATGTGTGTCACCTCTTTTAGGAAAACTTTCTGCAAACCCTGCCCCGTGCATCTGTCCTCACAGCAGCCCTGTGCTCGCCAGCTGTGTGAAGCACCCGCCTGTGCTCTAAGACCAGTGATTTTCAGCCGTCTCGGTACTTAGTACATGTACAGTGTCGCAGTGCTCGCGTAGTGCTCACTCCCCTGCACTAACTACTTTTTGGCCAGAATTGTGCTTCATTCGCATTTTCAGGACCCAGCAAAATTTGTCTTTCCTTTGCCCTCAGAATACTGAATGGCACAAAATTCTCCTTCCAGTTGGAGTTTATGTAAAGGAAATCAAATATGTTTGGGCCTGCAAAATCTAGAGAAAATGGATTTATCATTTATTATTAATACTTAGGCTTTTTAAGACAATATATTTCATGAATTAAAATGTAGTTTGCCAAGTGTAAATGTAAGAGTTTTTCTTTTAAGAAAGTGTACTAAGTTTTTCATGTTTTGCTCCTTTTATTTGCTGAATGCCATATAGTGTAGGTATTTTCTATCTAGTTTTTTCCTCAGAAAGTCTTTAGATCGTGGCAGCATTTCTGATTTTTCCTTTTCCTTCTCTGACTCCTCTGCCTAACTCTGTCCCTTAGCTGTCCTTGGCTCTTCTGCACCCAAAAGCCTTCGTGTGGGGCGCATTCTGAGGTGGGGGATGCACCTACACTGCTGTGCAGTAGGGTGGGTGCCGTCTCCTGAATTTGAGTACAGCCTGTTTTTAGGAAATAGTATCACATGTTTACGCTTTCCAAACATTCTCTGCCTCTTTCTGTGTAGCTCCAAAACTTGCATTGTCATTGTATCTAGTCATGTAGTTCCTACCCAGCTAAATATTCTTAGCCTCTTTCTAATTTTCCAACATTTTGGAAAATATGCTTTCTCTTTGGAATCCTTAAAATTTAAAGGGAAACTCAGTAGGTAAAATTTGAGGCAATCAAGAGTGACACATAGGGGGGCTGGGGATTTAGCTCAGCGGCAAAGCGCCTGCCTGGCAAGCGCAAGGTCGTGAGTTCGGTTCCCGGTACCGGAGAAAAACCAAAAAAAAAAAAAAAAAAAGAGTGACACATAGGGTTCATGGATCAGAAACAAATGACCTTTTTTTAACATATATTTTTGAAAATAGAATAATTATATGTTCATGGTAAATGCAAAATTTCAAATGCAAAGGGGAAATATAAAATGAAAATGAGAAGCTCTTGTTCCTCTGTCCCGCCCTCAGAAGGCAACTGCAGTAACGTTTCTTGTCTATAATTAGATTAATTTATGTACTGAATCACATCTCTCCATTATTTTACACAAGTAGGTTCATTTTTTTGATACTGTTTTACATCTTGCTTTTTGTGCTCAATAATCTTAGATATTTTTCAGTAATTACTACGTACAGATTTTTATATTCCATATATTCCGTTTTGTAGTCCATTTTTATATTCTGTATTGATAGATATTTAAGCTATGTTCCTTGTATTTATTTCATAGTTTTGTGATTGGATAATTTATTTTATATATTTGAAGTGCATTTGCTAAATTAGAGGTTTGGTGGATTTTCAGTTTGGGTAGATTTTGCCATCTCACCCTTGTACTAGGTACCCATTTATACTTCTGGTTCATTACAGTATTGCTTGTGTTTTCTTATCTGCAATACTAATTATTACCAAAGTTTTAAAAATATGTCTTACTCTTACTACTTTAAAAATAACATTTTGTTATTTAGATTTTTTTAAAAATTTCGAGTGAACTCATGTACATCACTTCCTAAGTTTGTTAGTTCTTTATGTTTCTCCCTGCGAGTTGTGTATATCATAATCTCTTTCCCATTCCTTTTGTTTTTTCACCTTTTCCTCATGACTTATAGCTAATTTGTTATCTTATGTGTAGCCAAATAAAAAGTTTTTTCCCAAAAGCATAGGAAAGAGAAAAATACTGCATTTAGGAATGAAAGAAGAAGGGAATGTATCCAGCCAGTGGCGCTCTGGTTGTAGAGTATGGTTTATAGTGATTGCTGCTCTTTTTGGTGTAAATACTAAAACTACAGCCACTGATTTGGCCGCTGATAGGACATCACAGAAAGGGGAAAGTGCATTTGCACACCATTGTACGTAAGAATCTACCACATAGATACAAAAAGTGCAGTAAAAGAGCATAGATATTAGCAAATAAAATCAAATAATTAGCAAATGATGAGTTTTAAATATTTTAATATAATTTAATTATAAATTTATATACTTTGGTACTTAATAATAGCTTTAACAACTGGTATACAAAGGTCCCTGAAAATTTAATAATTTGATCTAGAGAGCTAATACAAGGTAGCTCCAGCCCTCCATTTATAGTGGCTTATTTTTATACCTTTATCTCCATATATTCCTTCCCTCTTGCTCTTTTACCCTCCTCCAAAAAATAAGTCAGAAGAAAAATTAAAAATGTGTTTTCTGTGATTCATGTCTTAGCTTAATTTATAAATTTTAAATTAAAGCGGTGGTTGGAGATATTATTTCTTTTTATATCTACTTCACATTTTTCCGTTTTACCTTTGATCATTTGTGTTTTTAAGTATTAATAATTTAAAATAAGTTAGTATATGAACGATTAATAATTATTTGAAAATGCTACAGGCACTTTTTCACATTTGGGGCAAAATTTATGGCTAATTATGACCTTAATTTTCCTAGTTTTTCACTAAAGATGTCATCGTGCCCTCTCCTTGGACTGATCATGAAGGGAAACAACTTTCAGAGTATCATCCCAATAACTGTGAGTGTACTTCAAATAAAAAAATTTTAAGAATCAATGAATGTAAAGCAATTTAATGAAGCACCAGTTTATTTGCTTCAGTGAGGAGCTTGTGTAAAATTAAATTTCTTATATAGATAAAGGAAAGGTAGAGACTTAAATGACCTCAAGCTAATTATCTGCAACATTATTAAGGAAATTAAAAGGCAAACTAATAATCTTCCAATATGTTTGGTCCTCCAAGCAATGGTTGTCTTATATTTGTTCTTACTGCCTTTTGGGTTATGAACAGCATTCAGGTATCGCTGGTGTATGTGCATTCCTTATTGCAATGGGATTACTCGCTCTTCTTTGTAGCATACCTTAATTATGTTCACAGTATAAGAGAATATTTGTTACATGCTTATCAAAAGGCAACGATAACAGATAAAGTGGGTTGAGTACTTTGACTGCCAGGATAGTACTAAATACTTCTAGTAATTTCTTACAAATCGTATGAAGTGGGCATAATTGTTCGCTCCATTATGTAGGTGAGGAACATTCATTTTAGAAAGGTTAAAGCACTTGTCCAGGGTACAGAGCTGATAAAATTGATAGAACCTGGATTAAAAACCAGGCATCTCTGATGAAATTCAGTGATCCCAGCCCTTGCACAGCAATAGCAATGTGTGATGCGGATCTCTGTCCTGGATTGTAAACACCCTGCAACTCTAAACCAGAGGGGAGGCCTCAATCAAATTATTCAGTCTCTTTGGACCTCAGTTGTTTTGTTTGTAAAATGCAAAGATTACACTACAGAGTTGTCTGTTACATTCTTTGGAGCTCTAAAATTCTATGTTCATGTGATATTTCTTACAGACAGTCCTTCCCCCCATTTTTTCATGGTGGATTTTATTATAGATGAATCAACTTTACAAGATTTTTTTAATGTCATCATTTCATATTCTGAAAACTTGTTTTAGTTAAAATGATGCTGTATGAGGAAGACACAAAAATACCATAGTCTGTGATAAGCCAGTCCAGCCTGTGATGACACGCTGCAGTGCTTAAGAGGGTGGGCTCCAGAGCTGTGCTATTTAATATATTGTGATGAGGAGATTCTCCAGGAGTGTTGCATTTTTGTGTATCTTGCAAGGAGTGGTTTGGAGAGATCTTGTCGCAAACTATCTTTTCAAGGATCTTTTATGACAATCATCCTTGGAAGACAGAGTGCCCCTCCAGAGCAGAGGGTAGGCTTATTTTGCACTCCAGGAAATAAACAGGTCGTCTCCCTCTAGAGCAGATGTGCTTGCAAGCCATCCTAAGAATGGGATTTCTTAAGCTCAGGGTTCATCATGAAACCCACTGCAACTTTTCATAGCTAACAAAATACCTGAGATAATCAATTTGTAAAGCTATTTTTTTTGGGGGGGGGGGCGGTACCGGGAATTGAACTCATGACCTCAGGCTTGCCAGGCAAGTGCTTATGCCGCTGAGCTACATCCCCAGCCCATAATCAGTTTATAAAGAAGAGAGGTTTATTTTGGGTCACAGTTTTGGTGGTTTGAGTCCATGATTGGCCCTTTTGCTTTGGGCAATGGTAGCATGGAATATCGTGGTGGGAGCATGTGGCAGAAGAGGTCTGTTCGCCGTATGGCTAGATATAAATGACATGAGAAAGGGCTGGGGTTTTTCCATACTTTTCAAAGGCTGCCCCAATGATGAGAAAACCTCCCGTGAGACCCACCACCTCCCAGTAGCGCCAAGCTGGAGACCAGGACCTTAACATAGGGCCTGTGACCGTTAATCCTGATTTATCAGCTTTCTTGGAGTGAGAAAGTCCTGGCAGATTCATAAAGCACACTCCTGGGTAAGCCTGGTAGACCACGGAGGTGTGACCTTGGTATTCAAAATGGTCCCTGGCTGCTCCTCTCTGGCACTGTTCCCCACTCTGCTTCCCAGCTGCTGCAGCCCCGACTCACCCATCTCCAACCAGGCCCCACCTCTGAGTAGCACGTTCAGCTGAGACCTTATCAATAAATTAATTCAGTGAGGAGTGCAGCGCTTTTGGGGTACGTTGTAGATTTAAACCACAACACTCATGATCTCATATGTGGAATCTACAAGAGTCAAACTCACAGAAAGTAGAATGGGGGTGAAGTACTAGGGCAAAAGGCATAAGGTTTCAGTTAGGAAGAATACCTTATGACAATCTATTCCATAACAAGGTGATTATAGTTAATAATATATAGTTTTAAATGGCTAAAAGCAAATTTTAAATAGTTGCACTAACATGTATTAAGTGCATGAGGAATAGATAAATAAATTAGCTTTGTTTGTTTGTTCCATAACGTGTACACATATGCAGATATCACATTTACATATATTATTGTCATTTTTTTAAAAGGAAAAAGTGAAGTATGACTTGTCATACCCCTTTACTTGCTCTGATAATCTGTTAATTTTACCTTATATTCAGTCAGAGTTAAAAAAAAAAAACAAAAAAAACCTAACAGAAACATGCCCAAGCCTGGCGTGGTGGCGCACGCCTATAATCTCAGCACTCGGGAGGCTGAGGCAGGTGGATTGTTGCGAGTTCGAGACCAGCCTGGGCTACAAAGTGAGTTCAAGGCCAGTCTGATCTGCACAGCGAGACCCTGTCTCAAAAAGACAAAAAAAAAAAAAAAAAAAAAAGAAAAAGAAAACAGAAACATGCCCAAATATGTGCCTATGAATACAGATATCTATTCTCAAAATATTATAAAATAAAAACTTCTAATATGTAACATTTTAGTCCAGAAAAAGTAGGCTAAAGTAAGTGAATATAAAAGGTGTGATTTTCTACTTAAAATGTTTTACAGGTATTAACATAAATAGTGCCTCTCCAGCTGAGAAAAAACTGACCATTCATCCTGGAAAAAGCAATGGTGAGTGTGAACACAAGCTATAAAGAAATAGTTCTGTAGTAGGCTGTGTTTGATTTTAAACCCTGTTCGTGTAGTAGTGCATTACTTTGGAATTGAAATTATTTGCTTTTTGTGAATGATCTGTATAACTCTGCAGGAGCTGATGCATCCAGCTATGTTTTACAAACAGCACTAGTCTGTTGTTTTCTTGTTCCAAATGTGGGAATCATTTCTCGTTTTGGAGAGCATTCTTTTGAAAATGTGTTACTGTGGGAAATCTCCCCTCAAGTGTAGGCTGGCTCCCTTTTCAATTCCAAGTGCCAGCGTCACAGCCAGGGGTGAACTTTTACATTAACATGTTTCCATCGGTAGCAGAAAGTGGGAAGCTGCTTAGGGGAAGGTGGCGTGGCAGGTACTAGAGTGTGTAAGTGGGATAATTCAGTTGCCTGCAACATCATGGAGAGATGGTTGGTTGAGAAGCACATGCTAAACTTATGTCACACGCTTTCATTGACTGATCCATGTTTGTATTTATTTATTTATTTGCTTGCTTCCAGCTGCTTGTCAGACATTGCTGTCTCTTCCTGTGGATTTTAATTTAGAAAATATATTAGGTAAATACTGTTTTTAAAATGTTTAATAACTTATATCAAATGTTCTGTTTTGTTGGCTTTTTGTAAATGGGACTACCTAGCAATGCTTTTCTCTAAAGAAGTGGGGAAACTGTCCTGAATACCTGTTTTTCTTGAAATGGCCTAAATTGGCTTTTATATCATAATGAATTTTTCTATACACATAAACTACGAATATCTTATTGGCATTTGTAAACATTAATAATGAAGCACTCCAAAGAATAATGAATAATGTAAGATATTAAACATCTGTGTATATATAAACATACACAGTTAAACTTTGCCTTCTTTTTAAAAAAATCAAACACGGTACATGCTGGTTTTGTAAAAATTCAGTGACAGAAGTACAATTGCTCTTCCAAACGTCTAGATTTCCCTTTTATTCCACTAACCTTGAATATAGGTGACTACTTTAGAGCTGATGAGTTTGCCGATCAGTCTCCTGGAAACCTCAGTTCTTCATCGCTCAGAAGAAAGCTCTTTTTAGATGGGAACGGAAGTATCTCTGAGTCCTTACCGTCGACTTCACCCCGAAGTCCTCATAGCAGCGCCCAAGCATCACTTGAGGTGTTTTATTCAATAGATTTATCTCCTGTGCGGTGTCGGAGCCCTCTGCAGACACCAGGCTCGGTAAGAAGAATATTCACAGATGGCTGATTTTGTTTTATACATACTTAGGTCTTGATACTTGGAATTCACTCAGAAGGAATAGTTGCCTTTGGAGTATTACTCTTAATGAACATTAACTTGGTCCATGTATTTTCATTAGTCATAGGAATGTTTTTATTAAGACTCCAGTTTTGCATGGGAGAGGACCGAATGTTTCCTGAGTCTCAAGGAATCTCAGTGTGGGTTATTTACTGAATTATGACGGACATACTGTACAGCCCAACCCTATCGGCATTCATGGAGTAAATGATTAAAAAAATTTGTACAGACAGCTGTTTGGTGTAAAATGTACTGCTTTGGTTAAGCACACTGCATTTATATTTTCACTAGCATGTTCTAATTCAAAATCTTTATAGCAGTCTTCTTAGTTGTCTTTGTTCCAAGATGTCTTTTGGTAGTTCTTGTGACTAATTCCTAATCTGTAAATGTGTTTTGAAGGTAAAGACAAATAGCCTGCAACATGAGTTGAAGAGAACCATGAACAACATGCTTATTTATTACCTATTTACATTTTCATAGGGGCAGTTTTCTTCCAGTCCTATTCAAGGTAGTGCAAAAAAGTACAGTTTGGGGAGCATGACGAGTCCTTCAGCTATTTCTTCACCCACTTTCTCACCAGTAGCACTTCAAATAGGAAAGACACCTCTCTCAGGTATGTCTCATAATAAAATACCAGCTCAAAAATTTTGTAATATCAGTATTTTTTATTAAAGAGCCTCATTTTTGCATAATTCTAAGTGATTGCTTTTATTTAGCATTTAGAACCTTTGGGGTTTTTTTTTTAGGAACAGGTTACCTTCAAAGAATGGAATTCTCTAATAAAGTTTTACTGTAATGTTAAATATAGTCACTTTAGCAATATTTACATCAAACCTCTGTCAATGAAAGATAACGATTTTAGAGACAAATTAGTTTTTAATATGCTTTCTGATCTGTGGGTTTAGATTTTGATAATTAGTCATAGTTTGTTTTTTTCAAAAAGTGTATTTGGCTAATTTTTTTTAATGTGAATATAATGTATAGAAATGTACATATTTCCCTGAAAAAATCATCATACCAATTTTTAAAAGTTCACCATCTTAGCAAACCTATTCAGACCAATAAAATTGGAAACTTTTTTCGTTAGCCTTGTTTATATTTGTGTGTGGGTGTATATATGGATATACATGTGTGCATACACATGCTTGTACATACTTGCATCCTGCCTTTTTTTCACAAAGCATTTTATTGTACCTGTTTTTATAGGCCACTCAGAAAATTTAAACCTCTCAAAAGTGTGGTTGTTTTCTGGTGCTGAGAATTCAACCCAAGGTGCCACTGTGTGCACAGCAAAAAACACTGCCTCAGAGCTATACCCTTTTGCCCCGTGTGTCATTTGTTTAGAACCATTAGTAAGCATTTAAATTATTTCTTTGATTTTTTTTTTTTTTCCGGTACCGGGAATTGAACTCACAACCTCGTGCTTGCCAGGCAGGCGCTGTGCCACTGAGCTAAATCCCCAACCCCAAAAGGAATTTTTTTTTTTTTTTTCTTTTTGCAGTACCGGAGATTGAACTCACTACCTTGCACTTGCCAAGCAGGCGCTTATGCCACTGAGCTATATCCCCAGCCCTGCATTTAAATTATTTCTAATTTTTCTTGGTCATGAAACTAATGATTATTTTACATGTATACTATGTTACACATATTTATAGCTTTAGGTTAAATTCCCAGAAATGGGCCAGTTATATTCTGGAAGGTTGTGAATTCAGGCATCAGTGTTTGTTTAAATGGTTTCTCCCTGCTTTAACTCTTCCGTACTTTTAATTACTTTTGTGGTTGCATGCTTTTACTATGGTTGTTTACCTTTGGGAAGATTATGTGCTTTTGCTCATTTTTTTAGAAACTGGTTTTTGTTAAACTAATGAAGTTACAAGTCATTATTAAGCTTTACAGCATTTTCATCACTTTGATTATCATTAGGTGCTTTATTATTGAGAATATTCTTTTCTAAGGTTTTGCTTATCTTTTACTGTTGCATATAATATTTTACATAAAAACGAAGATATTTTTGTATATTTACTTTATCGGGTACAGCCGTTAAATTGGAGCTTTGATTTTCTTTGTACATGAATAATTTTGGTATCATAGCAGTATGTTTATGAGGAAGTAATTTTCAGGGAGTAAAATATCTTAGTTAAAGTAGGGAAAGAGCTACCGAAACTATTTTTGAGCTTCTTTTTTCTTATTCAGACATATTCACTTGTGCTATTGTTTCAGTTTCTTGTTGTTGTTGTTAGTTTTTGAGATGGGGGTCTCACTATGTAGTTCAGCCTGGCCTTGAACTCACCTTGAACTCAGGCTGACCTGGAACTCACAGCAATCCACCTGCCTCTGTCTCTTGAGTGCTGGGATTATAGGCATGAGTCACCATTTCTGTCTTGTGCTGTTGTTTTCCACATCAGAAGTTCACTTTAGTGAACAATACAGCAGTCAGAAATGTAGTTTTTTTAAGGCATGGAATATGATTACCATTTTGGCTGTAGTTCCTATTTTTCATCTTTTTATACTGTGATTTTTCTCTCCGATCTTTAGAACAAAGGAAGTTTACTTTGCCTTCTCCCAGCGCCTCATCTGGAATAAATTCTAATGGAATTACTAACCCGTGTATCAGAAGCCCGTATATAGATGGCTGTTCACCAATTAAAAATTGGTCTCCTATGAGTCTGGAGATGTGCAGAGGTGGTCCTCCATATCGGGCCTCGCTGATCCGAATTCCTTTTGCTCTGGAGACGCACAGTGAAGATGAGGAAGAGAAAGAGAATGTTCCTGCCCTGGATGTCCCAAGCTCGGTCAGGGATGCCGTGGAAGGACCCCTGCGGCAGCTGATGGGCGATGCTTCTACCCCCGGCCCGCGCTTCGTGGTGGCAGCCGTGTCTGTTACACAGCGTCCGCCCGGCGCTTCTGGGAAAGAACTAGCCCTGCAGGATGTTGAGAGCGAGAAGAATGACACTGTGGACATGGTTGACCCTGTAGAGACAGCAGATGAGAACACTTGGAGTAAGGAGCCCGCTGACGATGGGAGTTTGCCTGTGCCCGATTTTGTCAGTGGAATTGGCTTTAGCATTGAAAACTCGCAAATGTGCATGTCGCCTCTGGCCGAAAGCAGTGTGCTTCCTTGTGAGAGCAGTAACATGCAGGTAAGGTGTCTGGAAATTCTGTTGACCTTTACCTACTTTCTCTGCATTACCCTTTTTTCCTAAGATGATAGTGTGAGGTAGACGATGGGTTAATTGTGAGGACTGTAGCATTTTACATTTCTAAAGAACATCAAAGCTGGGCATGGAGGCCCTGCCTGCAGTCCCGGCATTAGCTTGGCGGCACTGGAAAGGAGCATAGCTGTGAATTCGAGGCCAGCCTGGGCTCCAGAGCAAGACCCTGTCTCAAAAACAAAAACAAGATATCCAGTAATACCAGGAGAATTAGTTTCTTTTAATTAGAGCTAAGTATGTATATTTAGTCTACTTATTAACATGTTTATTTGGAATAGGAAAAGATGTGAACAGAAAAGAAATGAAGCAGCTTCATTTTCACACACTGCTAGAGTTAGGCAGCCTCGCAGAATTTCTCTTTGCGTCTCGTACCACAGGAAGGTAGTTCCTGATATAATACTCTAAAAGTGCAACAGTTTTGGCTTTACCTTTGTATAATTTGCAGGGCAGGAAAGCAAAGTTTAGAGCACTTCTATATTTTTTATTTGTACTTTTTAGAAATGTGACTTTAGCCAGTACTTTTCATGTAATTGTACCTTTCCAATTTCCCAAAGCCTGGCAACAGAAAAGTCTTGATTTATTTAACATGTATATTTTATAACCAGCACCGACATCAAAAGATATTGTTCCACTCATTGCAGTATTCTGTGAGCAGAGAATACTGGAAGGACCTTGGGAGAATTCTTAATTGCCATAGTAACATCGATCCCTTAGACAGCACTTACTGTTGCTAGCACTGTTCTGGGTTCTTCATACGTGTTAATACAGGTATACTTTTATCTCTGTTTTGCAGATGAGGAAACTGTTTAGTTTTGCAGAGATTTTCATAGTTTAAAAATGTTTCCATGCATTGTTATTTTTCTGACACAGGGGTTTCTTTCAAGCATCGGGACATCGCCATGTCTCCCTGGGGCCTTCTGATGTAGTTCACTGGATTGTCTGGCTTCCTAGACCGTGCCGTGGTCATCATCCTAGAAATTCCCTTCCCTTTCCTGGGCTCTGTGACCTCTTGCTGTTTTTTGTATCCCGTTCTTCTCTTTCTTGGTTTATTCTCATTTTGCTAGAATCTATTTTCTGGTAGCTGCCTAAGAAAAAGTACATTTTTAAAGACATTGCATGTCTGACGGTATTCATTTTTCCCTCATGTTCAGGTTTAAAAATAATTGTCGTTTACAGTTTGAATGCATGGTTTCATTGACCATTTCACTGTTGCTGGTGAGAAATGTGAAACTGTTTCAATGCTTGATCTTCGATAAATTGTCTCTTCCTTTTTTTCCCTCCCTCTTGATGGTTTAGGGCCTTTTCTTTTGATACAGTGTTCTGAAATTTTAGTGACATTCTTTGGTGTGGATTTGTTTCTAGCCGCTGCAGTGAGCTCTCAGAATGCCCTTATTTATGGTCTGTAGCCTTACTCCTTTCACCTCTTCGCTCTTTCCTGGAATAACTCAGTCATTTTCACTGTTTTCTCTGGAACTCATTTTGATTCTCCAACTTAAAAACAACTTTTGACTACACTTTTTAAAATCTCCTTTTGGCTGTAATTTCTGCATCTTATCTTTAATTTCTAAACTTTTTTTTTTTTAATTTTTTTTATTTTCTGATACCGGGAATCGAACTCATGACCTTGCGCTTGCCAGGCAGGCACTGTGCCGCTGAGCTAAATCCCCAGCCCCTTAAACTCATTTTTCTTTATCTGGATAATGTGGCCACAGAGGCACTGTGTGATCCAAGGTGCCTCAGCCTTCACCTTCATTCTGTTTCACCTTCTTTTTTGCTTCGGTCACCCTGGCTTTTCAGAAGCTTGAGTAACCTGTGCTCCCTTCTGTTAAGGGCCTTTGCACATAGCATGAAGAATTTCTTTCTATCCCACTTCACCTAGCTCTTTTTAGTTCACAACTTGTTGGTCACAATCTTAAGAAACCTCCCTTGATTGTACTGGCCAGGCCAGACCTCAATTATATGTTTTCTTAAATCTCTGTACACGGGGCTGGGGATTTAGCTCAGCGGCAAAAGCGCCTGCCTGGCAAGCGCAAGGTCGTGAGTTCAGTTCCCGGTACCGGAGAAAAACAAAACAAAACAAAAAAAAAAGAAAAAAATCTCTGTACAATTTTGCCTTCTCTGTCAAGACATTAATGAGGTGATCCTATATATTTTTACGCACAAACCCTGACACATAGTAACTACTCATTAAATGTTTCTGGAATGAAAACAGAATGAATAAAGGAACACTAGGCAAGCATAGCGTCTTGGGACATCTTAAGCAGGAAAGAATAGTTAGTACTGTCAAACTATGAGAGAGGAGTGTAGGCCTTGGTAAGTGGCTATTGGAGTAATACTGGAAGCATTTGAACAGCCTCTGAAAAATGAATGGAGGGAATATCAAAGAAGATGAGGTCACGCAATCATGGGGTAGATAACTTTTTGAGGTAGCTTAGGTGTGAAGGAAAAGAAATGATGGCCAAAAGAAACATTAAAGTCCAGAATCTTTTTGTTTTTTCACCTTGTTTTTAGTTTAGATGGGAGAAGCAGCATATTTAAATATAAGCAAAGGAAATAGGTAACCATGGGAGACAAGATCCTCTGAATGGTAGCAAGCAAAGGAGACTGGGCATGGTGGTGTAGGACTGAAGTACCGGAGCCCAATTTCAAGGAAGGCCCAGCTAAGACAGCTGTTCACGGTTGTGAGCCATTGGGAGTGATTTGCTCACAAAGCAGATGTCAGATGATTGACCATAGATGCATTTAGAAATAGCTGTTCAGAGTACCGACTTTGCAATGAGAACTAAGTTTGAATTAGGATTAGTTTTCTGCTTTCCAGCCTGTAGGATCATAAAGCAGGATCCACTCGACAGTGAGCAGAACGTGACTGTTTGATCTTTTCAGTGCTTTATTCTTCCCAGCAGAAATAACACCCACCTCAATGCCTATAGGGAGTAACAAGATGGCCTGTGGCATCTGCTTGGGACCTAGAAGGCACTGACACTTAGTTGTTTAGATGAGATGATGAGGTCAGCCGCCAGGTGGGGCTCACAGGTGGGGTCCTGCTCTTCTACTCCCCCCTATACTATTAATATTCCCTTGATCTACTCACTTATTTATTAGTGTTGAGTTCTGAGTTATTTGGTAGTAATGAGTATTAGAAGGAAGAGTAATGGGCAGATTATCTGCAAGCAGTGTGATGTTCACATTTGTGATCAAGTATCTACCAAATGATAGCAAAACAAAGTACCTCCCTTGAAATGTAATGTTGTATTCTGTTCCATATGTCCCAAGCTTTTGTTCTGTTGGAACACAAATGCAGTGATGAGCAAATATACATGCATTCCTGAAAACTAGGAATCCTTTTTTTTTGGCTTCTGAGTGACAGAATGCTGTTCTAGACTGTTCTAAATATTCATAAAGGAAAGTGGTCTTCCCTGCTTCTCATTTGGAAGGAAGGGTCAAGTACTGGATGAATTCCTTGTGGGGGTCTTGTGTGTGTGTTGTGTCATGCTTAGCATGTAAGTAAATGAAGTCTCACGCAGTGAATAGAACTTGCATTTTGGCGCCTCAAGTCTTCACCACCCCGTTACTTACTGTATGGCATTATGAAAGTTAGCCTTTCTGAGCCTTAGTTTCCTCATCAGTAAGGTAGCGGGGACGTTGAAAGGAGAAAACAAAAGTGGCATTATATGGAGCACTGTATGGGACCTGGCATTTTCATTCAGTGAATGCTTATTACGTGTGGTAGCCACCCCGCCCCGCCACCTGAAGATGTGCTTTGTATGGCTTCACACACTTCCACATTACATGGAAAATTCAAGAAATACAGAATGCATGTTTTAAATTGCAGACATTCTGAGTAGCATGGTGAAATCCTCCAGTGACTCTCGCCATCCTGCCCGGGACACCAGTCATACCTGTCTCCATCTCATACTGCCCAGTCACTTAGTAGCATCTCAGTTACCAGACAGTCACAGTGTTGCAGTGCTTGTGTCCTGGTGACCTTTATTTTAACTAATAATGTCTTCAGAGTGTAAAAGTAGTGCTGCTGGCAACATACATATGCCCAAGAGAAGCTACAGAGTACTTCCTTAAACTGCAAAGGTAAAAAAAAGCACAGTAAGGTGTTCTTTTCCCTCTTTTTTTTTTTTTTGCAGTAAGATATTTTGAAAGAGCATGTCCACACAACTTTTATTTATTAATCTCTTACTAATTCCTCTGTATGTTAAACCTTATCACAGGTATGTATATGTAGGTAAAAACATCCATAAAGGTCTTGGACTATATCCCTACAGCTAAGACAGGACTACTTTTGTTGTTTTGGACCAGAATAAGTTCTCTTGGAGTGCAACAGTTTTTATTAACATGAAAATTTGAATATCTAGAGCCATTACATGTCCATTATTGTGAATATTCTGAGTAAATGTAATTTATCTTTTTAACGTGTGTGTGTAATTAAAAGGCACACCTTTTATGTAGATTTTATTTAGAGGTAAAACCAGGCTATTCAGAAAATGAGTTGGAAAGTGAGGTTGATTGTATTCCTCCCTTTATTTATGGGTGTGACTACAAAATAACAGAACAGCATGCTCTGCATGGCGTGCTCATTCATTGTAAAGGACATTAGAAGGTATATTTCATTGGAAAGAATTGTCAGGTAATACATTAAAAAATAGTAAGTTCTGTTAGAACATCCTTTAGTGTATTTTAATTTCATTCAATATGATTATTACATTGTATTGTTCAGATGTAGTGAAAGGTAGCATACAATGACTCAAACAGCTTTTAATTTCCTCCCAATAAATTCTACATAAATTACATAAGTGTATTAGTTTGCAATGTTATCCTTTGTGGTTTTTTTTCCTCTCTTTGCTCCTGTCAGATGGATAGTGGCTACAATACACAGACTGGTGGAAGCCATATTATGGATACTGCTGTCATAGAAAGTTACTGCAAAGAAAGTGATGCGCAAATCTTGGAAGTGGAGACCAAATTTTAAGTTTGTAATACGAAGGTATGGAGAAAACACAATGCTTACTATGGTCTTAGGCCAACAGTATTTACTGTCACTTTTTTCAGCCTTATTTTTTCCCCATTCTGTTTAATGTTTTAATTATCCAGTTCATGCCCTACCCTGTCCTGTTCACATAACAGTGGCAGGCGGTGGCTTTTAAATCCAAACACTTTTCTAACTCTTCTTTCTTTGGAATAATAGCAAGTGAAATAAGATCCTTAATATTAAAAGGAAATAAATAGAAGAACTTGGTTATTATGGGAATAGTACAACTGAAAGACTGTACATGACATTAAAAACACCTAAAGCTGAGTTGCTGTCTTAAAATCCAACAGGCTTTGAAGACTTTGGTTGTATGTAGGCATTTTAGATATGACAAAGGTGTGTGTTTTGAGTTGGAAATTACTGAGCCTTGTAAATGTGATGGCGATTCTAACTGTAGGCACTTTAGGACAGGACAGCCTTTGATTTTATATGCCAGTTTATTATTAGGCATTATAAACATCAGCAAATGCGCAACAAAACATAACTCTCCAAATCAAATGAAAAGGCCACCTTTTTCACATTAGTACAGCTGCAGTACATCATGATTACATTCATGGTGGGGAGCTGGTACATGTACAGAACACATCTTAACTCTTTTTCATCCCTTTCCCTTTTATATCCAATTACAGCTGAAACCCAGGCATTTTCTTTTTCCTACAGTAACCGCTGAAGAAGTATTAATGAAAACTGAACACAGAGGTATTAGATGAAAACATCACGTCTGTCTTAGTGCAGTCGCCCGCAGAATACCTCTGTCCGAAGCGAAGACCACTGCTGAAGCTCCTTGCGTATTCTTTTTTTTTTTTTTGCAAAGGAGCAATAATGTGATGGTGACTGGGGAAGAAACTGCTTCAAGTAACATTCTTAACTTCTTTCCCTCCTTAATGTGAAAAAGCAAGGGCTTAGTGACGTAGAAACAACCAAAAAGCTCCTATAACGTGAAATTGCTCAAATATAGTTCTACTTTTTATCAATAAATATTTTTGTACGTATCTTGAGTGACGTGTTTAATAATTGAAAAATGTGACTGAGCTGATGACCTGTCCTGACAGGATCAGTAAACTGCTCTGGACAGAACTTAGCACTTCTTCCGAGTACTTGAGAAAAGGTAAAAACTGAAGGCACCACATATTTTTGTAGGAAATCTGTGAACATGCATACCTGCACTTCAACTACAGCCTATGTCATAGAACTTACGGATATAAAAGAGATTGTAGAGGTAGGCATTAAACGGTATTCCCTAACTGTTCATTTCTGTGGGGAAATCCTTATTTCCCATAGTAACTGCTTAAGTTAATTCTTCTATAAGTATAAATACTGGAACGGCAGTGTTAATAGCGTCATCATTTTATTGCTATCTGTGAGTCACCGTGGGAGCCAGAGCAAATTACACCCCCACTCCTACAGCAGGGACAGCCTTTGCGGTTCAGACTGGGCTATGGAAAGGACAAGAGCAGCGTATCAGGCCAAAGGTGGAACTAGAGAACAGTGGGATTCCTGCTGGGCTCACAGCTGTGAGCAGTTGGGGATGCATATTACGTTAAAAAGTTATTTTTTTAAAAGCCCACATTGGCAGTAGATGGGTATGTTTGGAAATATCTATGGAGAATGTGTATCTGTATTTACTACTTTTTACAAAACTTTTTCAGAGTATCCTAAGTAACCCTAGAAAATAAAGATACATTGTCACTTTGTCACTTTTTTCCTTGTTCTGTGGAGTACTGTGTACCTTAATGCTAACCTTCAAGTGAGAACAAAAATCTCCCTTCTTGCCTTAATCACAAAGGTTTTAAATTAAATAAAAATTCACCTAAAAAAAAAAACTGCTTAAGAGTTCTGGTCCCTTAAGAACAGCAGCCACCTTGGGTACTGCTTTTTAGTAGCACAGGCCAAGAAATGAAGTCATGATTACAATCTAGAATCCAATCCCTCCTGTCATCACTTTACCTAGACCATAATCCCTCCTGTCATCACTTTACCTAGACCATAAACCTCTATTTTTTCATCTAATAGCCCTACAGGGCTTTTTAAGTATCACATAAATGCTGTGTGAACAGCTGTTATGCTGTATCATTTGAGAAAAAAAGACTGTATATTTAGTAGACTCAATTTTCTCTCCTGAATATTTTCAATGTGTAGATTGAGAACCCAGAGATGGCCCACTCTATGTCCATATAAGTTTAGCATAAGAACTGGCCCTGAAAATGAACCATTTTAGATTACCAAAAGCCGAGGCCTTAGGGGAAAAAAACAAGGTTCCTTTCTAATCATCTTTACTGCATTTGAGACTGACCATTCCTGATCCTGCCCCACCAAACGTGGAATCAGACACAGAAGTAGTAACAGCCTTACTTTGCCAAAAATTTGTCTACTGCAGGTAAACTATGGCCTAGCCAAGTAATTTTTAAATAGGTGATGGAAGAAACTCGAATGAGTAATACCCAGGGACACATAAACACTGTATGAAACTTTACCATTAATGAGGGTTTAATGGACCCCAGCCATGCTCATTTATTCCGATACTGTCTACAGCTAGCAGCAGCAGAGTTGAATGCCACAGCTGCATTACAGTCATGAAGCCTAAAATGTTTGTGTCCTTTATTCTCCTGGTCTGTGTCAGTCACTGCCCTATTCATTTTACATGGACCAGTCTGCTGGAGGTTATCTTCCTTCAGTGAAGCAAGTCTCCCTCAATTACTGAGTGCCCACATGACTAAAATACTCACTTAACAAGGCCTGCTGACTTACTGGCCAGTCTTTTTCATGGTACTGCAAATTCCTCAAAGGCATAAGTAGTTTACCTGACTGGTGAGGAAACTTGTGTGAGTGCTTTAGAAATTGACTAAGCACAGGGTTTTAAGGTAACCCTTTCTCCAAGTATTCTTGAAAACCCCATTTAATATAATCTGGCAAGTAAAATAGTCAATCTGGCAAATCAAATGTTTATTTTAATCGGTTCCTTTCAATATACCCTTAATACAATTCTCTCTCTCCTTTGCAATCTGATACAATTGTAATTTAAAAGCCACTGTCTGTTTTCTATAAGTAACAAGAAGGAGACATTTCAAGTAGCATCTCTATTCTTTCTGAGTTTTAATGCCTTCTTTTGGGGAGACACTGGAGCTGAAGGTCAAGGATGATCATCACACTTAACTACCTGGTAACAAAAAGCTTGCCTAGTCAGGTCAAAATATCCTATTTGTCTTCCTACCAACTCCCAAACATTCACAGCAAGGACCACAGGAGACTTGATCACAGCGGAGGAGTACTTACTGTAACTTTAGTACACTAAAATGGCAAAGGAGATTACATACCAAACACAGCTTTTAAGACTTGGGAAGGACTGTTCTTTGCCTCCAAAAATGTCCTACTTCCCTCCATAGGGAAATAGTTTTTTTTTTTTTAAACCAGTATTAAATAATCGAAGTACTTATGCAAAATTAATCTGCTCTTCAATGAGTAGATGAGTGTTCCATTTAAATGATCTTTAGAGATCCCTGAAGTTGCTATCCTGTCACTATTTAAGTGACGGATATTCAATTGAATTTTTTTGCATAAATGGTTCTGCTCAATCCAGAAACAAAGTAGTATGATAAGACAGACACAGTCAACAGTTAATAAAAATGCAAATTTCTGAAATTATTAAAATGTATTTAAAAGTGAACTATCACAGACTCTGAAGTATTCTCTCAAGTTCTTCGTTGTTATAAAGGAAATCCGTCTTTGAAGTTTGCTGTTAAAAGTAGCTACTTTTTAAGCTTCCTCCTCTTTTCTTCTGGTTCATTAACATCCACGTTTGAAATCTCATCAGGAACGCTTATTCCTGGTATCTACAGCCATGCAAACAGGGAAAAGTAAGGTGACTGATTGAAAGTATAAACAAGAAATCTTACCATCATCTTCCCCTTGTAACCGTCTTCAGTTTTGAAAACATGTAGAGTGGAGACAAAGGAGCTATACAGTTTATGTACACAAAGTATATATACTTACACAAAGTTAATAGTGGTTCAGAATGTAAATGGTAGACAATCTCAATGGGAGAGAAGCTTGTTACTGGACAGTGTTCTTAAGTTCTTTTTTATGTCCAGTTTACCCAGTGTAGCCACTGACTGCTAAGAGAACATCACAGGCCTCAGGTGTGTTGGGGCTGAACACAGGTTAAGGACCAGTATCTTAGATGATACACATACACTTGATCTTTGAGAGTGCAAATTACAAAACTAGTGAAAGAGACTTAGCAGAAGACCTGAAAGGTCTTTGGTGTAGGCATTTTGACACCAAGGACCTCAGAAGAATGTCAGATGTCTGGGATCCTATGGCCTCAGGAAATCAGTGAGCAAACACAACATGCTTTGAAAATATTTGGATTCCACACTATTTACTGAATTGTAGCACTGCACAGAAGTAACTATATCCCTCTCACAAAATACACAGTTTGTTCTAATATAATAGAGAAATTAGGGAGTTTGGTCTCACCTGAGGTTCTACCAGGGCCATTCGGATTTTCTGATGCTGAAGATTAGATGAGTCTAACATAATTTTCACTTTAACTTTATCGAACACATGGAACTCCATACCTTCTACTTTAAGTGAAGGTGTCTAAAAAAAAAATTCACATTTTATTCTTAATTGCTTCTTACACTCATAGCTCTATTTATAGTTTACCTTTCATAGTAAAAGTTTAAACTTAAAAGTTACTTTTATTAAGAATGCAGTTATTCAGTATAACAAAAAGCACAAACCTGGGAGTGTCTCATAAACATGACCTATTTATTTGCGGACTTCCTCCTCTCCTTAGGTAGACCTAACATACATTCACTAACCTCAGGATTCTCACACCACTAATCAGCAAATTTTGGGCCCAGTAGAAGAACACAAAAATGCTTAGATTATATTAATCTTTCAGAGCTGTAAGTCTAGTATGTTTATGGAACTAGAGGCACTGGAAATTACAAAAAGAAAAGAAGCCAGGCATGGTGACACATACTTGTAATCCCCTCACTCAGGAGGCTAAGGCAGGAAAATCACTGCGAGTTCAAGGCCATCCTGGGCTACAAAGTGAGTTCCAGGCTAGCCTGGACTACATGGTGAAACCTTGTTTCAAAAAAGACAAAAAAGGAAAAAGATTAAAGAAAAGAAATGAAAGGAGAAAAGAAAACTATTCCTTCCCTGCTCTATAAGCTACCATTTATCTCTTTACCTATCTACTTACAGTAAAATTTTACATACCATAAATGAAAGAAGGACAACATTTGTGTATGAAAAGATATCATGAGGTGAGAAATTCTGTGAATAAAACCATAGCTTAGCTGGCACAGTTACATGTGGATAATCTGGCACATATTTGGAGATTCAATTCTTTAGGATACAGAAAATAACTTTATAATTACCATTTGTGAACTAGCAAAGACAGTTCTCCCAGCCCAAGAAAATAAAACATCAGAAATACTGTACCTCATCATCATAAATAAGCTGTGGTTTTGGTTTGTCCTTTTCTTCAAAAAAGACTGTCCCTTCTAAACCATACTTTGGAATTAACACCACAATAGCATTCTTTCTGACAAACAGGATATAGGCTTCTTCGCTTACTATTCCTTTGCTTTTGAAAAATAACTGTAAAATAAATAGTCTTATTTAAATGTTTTAAAATATTTTTAAATTCACAAAAACAATTTTGAAGTTAAATAAAACTACAAACAACAAAACTTCATCTCTCAGGGAATTACTGATGGAAACCAAATACCTGCGTATGAAAGGCCACTGATGCACGCTGAGCATACTGAGCCATTTTGTGGCGGAAATTGAGATTTTTACAAATATCTGCAAGCTTGTGTTTGTCTGTCAACTCTGGGTAAGTACAGTCAGCCCCGATAGCCACAGCCAACAGCCGATGAACGATGATGTCTGCATATCTAGATGTACAAAGGAGAATGAACCGGCAAATTAGTCTTATAAAGTACCTTTTAAATTCAAAATTAACTCTTGTATCTCCTTTAATTTCATAAGGAAAAATACCTTCTGATAGGAGAAGTAAAGTGAGTGTATATTGGGGATGCTAAGCCATAGTGATGGAAATCGTTATCCATTCCAGAACAGAAGTACACTGCTTGCATCATACAGCGAGTGGCTAGGATTCTTAACAGGGTGTTTAGATATGGAAAAGCAGGAGACTCAGCTCGGTCCAAAGAGTCAGCCAATGATTTGGCTGTATCAGTCTTAATTTCCAAATTCTGTATATAGAAGAGAGGAGAAAAGTATCATATGAAACATATCAATAACGTCATGCTTTCACAAAACTAAACAGCTGAGCGTGGTGGCACACACCTGTAATCCCAGCACTCTGGGAGGATGACTGAAGTAGGAAGATCAGATGTTTGAGCACAGCCTGAGTAATTAATGATTTAGCAAGACTCTATCTCAAAAACAAATACACAAACAGCAAAGGGCTGGAAATGTATCTCAGTGTGAAGGCCCTGGGATCAATCCTCAGTACCACAAAAGAAAAACAAAACAATAACAAAAAACACTAAATACCACATAGTCTGAGCAAATATAGCACAGTGATTTTCACCAGATAATTTGGACTCACAACTTTTATCTTTGAGCTAGTAGAACTGAAAATAACTTTAAATTATGTAATGATTGTTTTGTACAATACCAAAGTTTAAAATTTCCTGAGTGCATTTGAAGGTACCGAAGTATCAAGACTGTAGTGAAGTTGCAAGGGACAGAAGGATGGTAGGGGTGCTATTTCTCAAAGTCTAGTTTGTGCTTGCTAATACCTGTCAGGATGAGGAAAATCAAAGATCTGGATACTTTTCAGCATTTGTCAATTCTTCTCTCCAGATTTTTCTTACATTCAAAGCACCCACTTTATTCTACTTTAGGGAGATCCCTCAAACATATTTAAATCTTTCTTCTTCTAGCTAGATTTTAGAAAGTAACACAATGAGAAAATCCCCTAACTCAGAGAGTAATCCTTAGAGCAGAAAGCAGATTTAGTTCTGATGAATACAGGAAGGGCAGATACACCATAAAGGTGTGAGCTATAACTAAATCACCAGCTTTTTAGAATAGCATCCTGAGACTCACTGCTACCCCTTCAAAGATCTGTTAGATGGGAAACATAAGGCCTGATCATAATACAAAGAAAACCAAAATAACACCATCTCAAGGGTAAGTAAACCTAAGAGGAAAGCCTAGGAACCAGAGGCAAGGGCTGAAAAAAGTGCCTTTGCTATATCCTTCCTCTTTTCCTTATATGCAATAAACAGCTGTCTTTTAGAAAAAGAAACGTGCTATAAAGAGGGCTGAACTGAGTTAAAGAGAAACAAAACAAACTGTTAATCTCTAAAGTTGGGTGGTTCAAAGAAGGCATATACAAAGGACAGAGATACAGAAGAACTTTATGTGTAGAGCACACTGCAAGTAACAGTCTAGATTAAAACATCTGACTTTAGCATTCAATACTCCTTAAAGACACTAAAGAATTTTATTAAGAAGATGATGTTAATGTAAACGTAGGAAGAGACAACAATAATCAAGATAGATGACTTCTTTTTCAGCACAAGAATTATTTGTATATTTTACTTCAAGAAACAACAAAACTTTTATGGAGAGGTGAATATAAATTCTATAGTACAGTGTTAGACCATAACACTGAGACAGTTTTTCAAGCTAGGTGACCTTACCTTGGACTTAGCTGCCTTAACAAGGATTTCATAATTTGAGGGAGGTGGAGCAGGATGTTTTCTCAGCAGAGCATGTTCAGAAAATTCTTCATGAATTTTTTTTGCAACAGAGATGTTAGCAAGTAGCATAAATTCTTCCACCATGGAATTTGTTTCTCTGCAATGGAAAAGGCATTCAGCAGGAAAACAAATCCGAGCCTTTCTTCTATCCTACTTTTCCCCAAGTTCCCTTTTCTACCAACACCAATGAAATCATGTCCTGCACAAACATTACACATATGCACATGTGTATTTTTAGTAACTGTGTCTTGTTCAGTTCTCACTATGCTAACAATCTCTTTGTGTACTCACTGTGAGGAAATCTTTCGTGCTACGTAAGACTTAACCAACTGCATTCAAAAAATGAAAGCTTTACCATTTTTACCCGAATATGAATCCACACAATACGACTTCAAAACTTTAATCAATCTGATATGGCTTTTTCTGTATACCTGTATAATTATTCTATAAATAGTTAAAACCTAGTTTATTATCTGCCTTCAATATACTATTTTTTCCTAAGTCACGGAACATGCGATATTAATCTTCCATTCATGTTTTCATTTTTAATAACATCTAATTTCTTGAAAAGATTTCTAAATTATGCTAATTTTTTAATTAAGCAGACCTCCAATTACATGGAGTTTCCCTTAGAAATGTCATTTTCTTCCTTTCGTAAAAAGAAATGGGTGATTTCCTATTTTCATTCTACTCTGGCAATCTTTTGCTCAAAAAAGATTTAATACTGGGCTCACTGTTAGTACTGATTAGACATATCTGTGCAGACATTTCATTCTAATGAATTTTTACAATTTTAGCCCTGACTCTAAAGCAAATACTGGTCCTAAGTAAAAAATCTGACTAAATTCTGATCTTTAAACCTTGCTCATCTACTAGAAAAGTATATGCATATAGACAGATAGATCTCTATCTATATACATATATGCATATACATGTATGTTTAATTTTATAGTTTCCTCATGTAAGAGATGTGGAAAGAAGCCTAACCTCTAACTGAGCCAAAATTATCCTTGCATCCTACATCCTAACTAAACATGTAACACAAATACATCAATAGCTAATATTCAAGCAGTCTTCACAACATCCTACAGCTAGGTACCATTATGAATCACAGCTTACAGAGAGAAACTGAAGCACATAAAGTGGATATATAACTTGCTGGAAGTTGTGTAAGCAGAAACAACAAAAACAGTACATAAACCTAGAGTTTGGCTGCCAAGCCCGTGGACTGATCCCTACCCTGTCATACCTCAGTGTACTTTATACTAAATACTTAAATAGTTAATCAGGGCACTCTTTTATTTACTATAATTATTACTACTGAAAACAAGTCAAATTGGAAACCAAGCAAAGCAAGTCAAACCAAAGCAAGTCAAATTGGAAATTGTTTTATTAACTACTCAGTTTTATTTAAGAAAAACTAAAGCAAGAGCATATTTACTTTTCCAAATATTTCGTAAGGCAAGAACAAATCCATAAAACTCGTAACTAAAATAGGAATAGACATTTTGAATATAAATGTCTTATTATTAAAGTAAGTACCTCCACACAGCAGGGAGCGCCGGTCTTCGGGCTGGCTCCCTGCCTCACAGGCGCCTGGGAAGCCACAGGGCAGGGAGCACTGGCCCTCAGGCCAGCCCCCAGCCTCAAAGGGGCCTGGGAGGAGGGCCCCCGGTGCCCGGGAAGCCATGGGGTGGGGAGCGCTGGCCCTCAGGCCGGCTCCCAGCCTCACAGGCGCCCGGAAGGAGGGGTTCCGGTGCCTGGGAAGCCGTGTAGCAGGGAGCGCTGGTCTTCGGGCCAGCTCCCTGCCTCACAGGCGCCTGGAAGGAGGGGTTCCAGTGCCCGGGAAGCAGTGCGGCAAGGAGCGCCTGTCTTCGGGCCGGCTCCCTGCCTCACAGGCACCCAGAAGGAGGGGTTCCGGTGCCTGGGAAGCTGTGTGGCAGTGAGCACTGTCATGCACTGGCCCTCAGGCTGGCCGCTGCCACTCAATTGAGAACTACCATGACACAGAGAAACAATGACACAATTGGCCCACCATGCACCGGCTGCAGATGCCCACCCACAGACGTGTGAATCATTCAAACATGGAAAAACCCCTGGGAATACATGCCATACAACGGGTCACTCTTGCTCCTGCCATTGAGAACCAGAAAGGTCCACAGTCAGCAGAGGAGCAGCTGCTGAACAAGGACTCAGAGAACATGAGAATGCAGACTAAGCCTGAGGAGTCAGAGGTACTGTGGACTGGAGTCATGAAAGCCGTGGTGGAGCTCCGGAGAGGTCTACAGCAAGATTCCTGTTGCCTGTGCTGATGGTTGGGGAGAGGACACTAACTGGTTGTGGGGTCCCCATGCAATGGGAGTCTGGCGAGAAAAAGCTACAAAGAATGGCTTTCGCCCCAGGTGGCTCACTTGAGATGTTAGTAAGAATTGCCTCCTCGGTATTCTATGGCCATGATGAGGAGGAGGCCAAGAAGAGAAAACAAAGAGACTGAGAAAAAGCAGCTGCTTTTGCGCAGCACTAAAGAGAAACAGACCCCAAGTCTGATTCCCGGGG